CTTGAAACCTTGTTAGCGACATTGACAGATAAAAGAAAAGACCCAGCCAAGGTCTAGGCTAAATTTTAGCTAAACGTGTGCGCCAGCGCGATCCAGGGGTATTGAAAGAACAAGATTTCACTTATAGAGCGTTTTCACTGCGGCCATATTGGTGTCCCAAACAATAGACAGTTTGCATAAGAATATAACTCATTTCCCAAAGGAGAGAAATTTCATTGTTTGTGAAAACCAATATGGCCGCCGTGACGTCATGTGAAATTTGGTAATAGAGCGGTGTTCAATTGAGTGCAGCAAAAGCAAAACAAAAGTAAAAATTCTGACCAATCACAACAGAAGAAAACTAAAAAAACAAGGAACCAATCAGTGGCACTAGTTTTTCGAACCAATCAGAGAGCGTAGTCAATCAAAACAAAAGCAAACATGTATTATTTTTAACACTCAATTGAAAAACGCTCTAAGCAACGATCATTTATAACTGTATATTAGGTTATCTTTACGAGCCGAAAGGTGAAGCATCTTAAGATCACTTAGCCGGTAGTACATCAGTTCATCTTCGTACCTGTTGTAGCTATGTTGAAAATCGACTTTGTTTAACGAAGGTCTAACACTTAACAGTCTTGCGACTGACAAACTTGTGGCCCTCGGATCCCAGATCGAATTGGAATTTAGAAGTGTTGGTTTTTGAGGAGGGAGGAAAACTGGATTACCCGGCGAAAAACCCTCGGAGCAAGGACGAGAACAAACAACAAACTCAACCCACATATGACGCTGGGTCCGAGATTTGAACGCGGGCCACATTGGTGTGACGCGAGCACTCTCGCCATTGCGCCATCCCTGCTCCCCATAGAAGCTGTCTGTCCCATAAGTTTTCTGCAATGAGCTTACATACTCATTCCACCGTCAAGTGTCTTAGACCGGAGGACAAAGTAGGTTTTCCTTCCCATCTCTGAGAATTAATTGGGTACGCGGTTTTCGTTGGAGGGATTTCATCAAGCAATATTCTGATTGGTCAATAAGAATGGGAAACTATTCGGCTAATCCAAAGAGGAAGTGTTCACCAGAATCACCGTGAAAAGATTTCTTGTTCTTTCTAATTTTGCACGTTAAGGTGATTATAGCGACTATCGTAAAATGAAAACTGAAGAAATCACACAGTCACTCCTTATAAGGCCATAAAGACTGCAATAAACCAATGAGAAAGCGACGCAGAAACGGGTAAAATGTGACTGAAAAGCGCGCGAAAAAATGAAACTGATGCAAATCGCTTTGCTTTCTGAAAATTTCATGCGAAAATTTGCATATTTGTGTAGTTCTATATATTTTAACCTGCGATCAGGCCAATTTTTCGCGCTCCTTACATTCTCTTTACGGGTGCACGTAAAGACAAAGAGTAAAAGAGAGCGCGGAAAAATTCGCCTGATACTCAGGTTATATATATTTTTAATCAGACCAGGGTTAGTTGCTCTGTTACAAAGCTCGCCCTTATTATGACTAGGATATAAACATGTAAAATTCTGGACGTCCAACAACATGGAATCCAGGATCGAGTATATTACCGTATATATACAGTCTAGCTACTTATTTTGGGCTGTAAAAAGCGTGTGTGTGTGTGTGTGGGGGGGGGGGGGGGGAGTAAAGTGGGAGGGGGGAAGTCTACGGTAGGCGGGAAAAGAGAGGGCGGGAAGCGGGATACCCAAAGTGGCGGAAACAGGGAGAAATGTGGAAAAAGAAATCGCAATCTTTCGCAATAGGAAAGCACAAAGAGGCGGAAGCCACTAAGGGAAGGGCGGGAAACGGGAGTGAAATGTGCGGAAGGCGGGAAGTTCAGAGTAGTAATAGCAAGTAAATAAAGGATCTTATGAACATTCAATCTCGTTCCCAGGGAACAAGGTCGATGAGCATTTTGATGCAGTATTTTATTTCATGTATATATCTAATTATTATACGACATGGCATTTTAGAGTGCGAATACGCACAAAGACGAGAGCAGATATGAGACCGTATTACATGGGTCTTAGTCCCCCTGACCGCGCGCTACGGAAAACACTGTTGAAAGCCTATATTTTAGGAAAGATATCATGTCGTATAATAAACAATTTATTCAGCGGAAAGTTGTGTAATACGGCTGGGCATTTTTACTCGTCAGTGTTTATTTTTTCTCGCCCAAAGGCTCGAAAAAATAAAAACTGACTCGTAAAAATACCCAGCCGCATTACACAACTTTCCGCTGAATAACCTCTATTTATATCAGGGTGGTGTGTATATCTTATTGGATCAAAATCACACACTAACTAACGCCATTTTATATAAGTGGCATTATGTTACTATGCTTCCCTGCTAGTAGAGTCTCCTTTTACGTTACCTTTTACTTTACTAAAAGGTAACGTAAAGTAAAAGTAACTTAAAAGGGGACTCTGCTTGCAGGGAATTACTATGCTTAAAACGTAAAAAAAATAAAATAAAAAGACTTTAAAACCTTCGTATATAGTTTTTACGCTCCTAAACTATTCAGTTTATATTGCAGCTCGCAGTGTTGTGTTTTATCATGCCAGACATGTTGCATATATACCACATATGTATAAGGAATCTTTAAATAAAAACCTGCGTTTCAAAAGTTGTCTCTAGTTGGTTTCTCGCAAAGGTTAAGCCTTTACACTGTGTATTGCAACCTTTTATATTGAAACAATAAGGGAATTAAATTTCCCCGCTTTGTTTTAATACCAGTCTTTATTGTATCTTTATATTAAACCACATACAGTGTGTGTTAATATACACATTTTCCTTTTCATATGATTCCGAAGATAGGAGAGATAAATAAGGCATCCGGGGCGTCCAATCAATCCGTTTCCACTGGTTCTAGGTCTACTCTGGGACCTTATTAAGTCGCCCAAAGTCGCCTAAAGTCGCCTTAAGTCGCCATGATTTTCCAGCCAATTCTGCTTAAATCGCCTTAAGTCGCCTTAAATCGCCTAAAGTTGCCTAAAGTTAGGGCGACTTAAGATCCCAGAGGCCTGGTTCTCTTTCAATAGCCCTTTTCACGGTTAATTAACAATTATTCGCCGAAGTGGAGGTGGATAGTGGTGGATATTTACCGAGCCGCTTCGGCGAGGTAAATATCCACCACTTTTCACCGACACTGAGGCGAAAAATCGGAAAAATCCTTTAAAAGTGGAACCCTACGCGCGACCAAGGACAGCGCGGGAAAAGTCACATGACAACATCAGGCGATCAACATGTCTCGTATGTTGGACTTTGACGATTTCAAAGGGAAATTATTATTTTTTTCCGTTTTACTGATGGACCAAAAAGCGACAAGTTCTATTTTCTCATATTTTACAAGTTCTGTCAGTTTCTATTGCCTGAGAAACTGATGTCGAAAGCTGCAAGTGCCGTTATAAACTGAACAAGATGGTCAAGATGCTGCCTAACCGAAGACGTTTTCGTATTAATTCCAGTTCAATTATTTCTCACATTGATGTGACTGCATCCACCGTCTGATGTTACTGCTTTTAATTTACCGGAGGGGAGAAGCAGTAAAGTTTGGAGAAGCCACAGCATTTGGGCAGTTCTAGATCATGATACGGCAACAGGAATATTTCTAGCGCAGTGAGACCGAGATTAGTCGATCCGAATACAAAACTAAATCGTTGGCAGCAGGGACTTCTTGCTTTTGAAAGACACTGCTGTATTCAGGATTTCAGGTAGGAATTGCATTTTAAAGTTAGTTGGACTGGACAGCGTTTGGAACCACTTCAAAGACTTTTAAAAACTGTTCGAAATTATCATTTACAACTGAGCGTTGTCACGTTCTTACTCTAGCGGCTCGATAGTAAACAAAACATTTTGTACGACATTTTTGGCGATTTTATTTAGTGACACGACTAAACTTGCTACAAATGATCACCTCTAAATATCTTCAGGTATTTTTGACAACACAGTGACGTGTAGCGGCCTCGTTTATGGAAGTAATTTCTGCTTTGATCAAAGAAGCAAAACGCACGGCCATTTTGTTTTTGCTCGGAGGTGAATAGCAAAGACTATTCACCTCCGAGCTAGCCAATCAGAACGCGCGAAAAGCACTATTCACTGGTTTGGTATATACTAACTTGTGATATTTGCATAACAATACACTTGAACATAGAAGCGAGGCAATTTCGGGCACAAGCTGTAAACCATCGTGTTTTTCTTGAGCCCCTTCAACTCTTTTAGTATAAAAACAGTTTTAAAATGTAGAAAAACTACAATTCTTTTAGTTTACGTTGTTTTTAGAAAAAAATTGCAAAGCGACTTTTCTCTGTTAATAAAGAGTAGATTAGCATAAGCAACAGCGAACGTTAACTAAACTAGTTGTATATTTAGTTTATTCTACATTTTAAAACCATTTTTAAACTAACATAGTTCAAGGAGCTCAAGAAAATCACGATGTTTTACAGCTTGTGCCCGAAATTTCCTCGCTTCTATGTTTAAACTGTATTGTTATGCAAATATTTCAGGTTAACCGTGAAAAGGGCTATTCGATCGCCTTTCTCTGACAGAGACTTCGTTCTCCAATCAACCGTGTTCATTAGAGGAGAAAAATAATCCGTTTCCACTGATCAACTATATAATCAGCCATTCAGTGTGGCAAACAAACATTAAACAGATATCTATTTAGTTCTTTTGAATTTCTAGCAAAAAAAGTCAGTTACAACTGAAGTTTGCTCATTCAAAGTTCCCTGAAAATATCAAGGCTTGTGTATTGCTTGGTATGTGAATTATCTTCACTTGCATGGTTGGTGGAAATTCTTTAGTCAGTTAAATAAAACAAGGAGTGGTCAGTTTTTGTATATTCCTCTATAATTAACACTGAAATAAAAATTGTAAACCATATACCACAAATCCATATATTATAATTTCTTTCCACACATTTCCACGCATCGAAAAATCTAGTCCTAGCAGTATGCGGGAAGTTTGTCCTATTTGAACCTACAATAGTCATGACCTAATTAAGCTCCCAAGAGTCTCTTGTAGATCAGTGGAAGAGCGTCTGACCGGTGTGCGGAATTGAAGGTTTATAGGTTCGACTCCTGTTGGGAGAACTCGGAAATTTTTTCCGAGTAGCTTTGCGCGTTCCCAACCTCGTTCCCAGGGTCTCTCTCATCTTCCCGCCCCCTGGAGCGAGAGAGGTTGTCGCGTTCCTTGTTCTGTTAAAACACACTTAAAATACTGAAAAACAAGGGCAAGGGGAATGGGTTTGGGTTCGAGAAATAGCGGGGTGTTCGATTCGAGATAGCGAGATTCAAACTGTATTCTGAATTCTTCAAACATGTACAGCAAGCAGCAAGTAAATAAACGTCATTATTATACGGCAGAGCATTTTAGGGTGCGAATACGCACCAAGACGAGTGCAAATATATAGATGTTATTGAACTAGCGTGAAAATATTGGTCGAGTTCTTTTTTTGCAAGTTTATGGACCGAGCCGAAGGCGAGGTCCATAAACTTGCAAAAAAAACAACGAGACCAATATTTCCCAATACGGACCGAACAAGCTAGTTCAATAAAGTTTTTATTATTTAATAATGGATTTTTAAAACATTTGCTGAGAAATTAATGCAACCGACCAAGCATATTCTTGCATTTTTCAGGCCACGTTGCGAAAAGTTTAACCAAAATTGTCCGCTAGACATGAGGAAAAAATGTTTCTACTTAATAGAAAACAGTTTTCTTTTGTTCAATGTTTCATAAAAGGAATTTGGCGAAATGAGTTCGTGAGCGGTCCATCTTTGCGGTCCGTATTGCAAAATTCGGACCGCTCAGGGAACCAATCAGAATGCTCCTTTTCATCGTGGACCAGTTTGCCATATAATAAGAGACCATATTACACTCGTCTTAGTTCCCCTGACCGCGCGCTACGGAAAACACTGTTGAAAGCCAATATTTTACGAAAGAATTATATCGTATAATAAACAATAAAACTGACACGTAAAAATACCCAGTCGTATTACACAACTTTCCGCTGAATATCCTCTTTTTTATCAACTTGAAGTTTATAATTTAAACTTTCTTTCTTATCTTCAGTTGAACTGCAAATTACTGCTTCAAGAGGACTTGGTGAGGCTTAGGTTATTTTCTCAAGGAAATTGAAGCACTTTTCCCTGTGTTACTATTGAAGAGATAGAAAATGACGCGCGTATTTACATGCCCTGATGCCAGGGGGGGTGGGAACTTCGATATAAAAGTGACGGGGGTGATCGTCGCACCTTTTAGGGGTTAAAATTCGTGGTTTGGTACCGCTTAGTGGTGTTAAAATCTACAATGACTACCGTTAGAGTAATTCCGGTACCTTTCAGGGTATGAAGACGGAAACAAATATGACAAGAACTAGTTTTGTCTTAGAATTGGTACCTCTTAAAGGGGGAAAATGAATTCGAGCCACGCCCACAAAACGAGATTCTGGTACCTTTTAGGGGTTCTTTTCCAAAATTCCGACGATCACCCCCGTCACTTTTGCATGGGAGTCCCCCCGGGGGGCCTGATGCAAACACGAGAGAGGTGAGGCTGGAGGTGACTTTGTTGTGATACAAACCTTCCTTCTTTTCAAATGTAAATTATTCTGTTATGTAAACTAGTTTCTGATCTCTATCATCTCATGGTCACCCCTAGCCTCGCTTTCATACAGAGGCTTGGTTACATTTCACAGAACAGTAAAATGGAAATGGTCTATTCTCCCAAACTTTGTTGAGTGCAATGGAAAACGCCGACTACACAACCAATCAGAGCGCGAGTTACGTATATGATCAACATTTTATAAAGCTTAAAGTTATGTATGGGAGAACTCGAAACAGCAGTAGAAATATTTTCATACAGTTCGTTCGTAGGGAGGCGGCGTGGCCGAGTGGTTTAGGGCGCTGGATTTGAAATCTGGAGGTCCCTGGTTCAAATCCTCCACCCTGCCACTAGCTGGATTTGCTCTCGGTAGTCCCGAGTTCAACTCCGCGGCCACGCTTTGTAAATAGCCAACTGGACAGCCTCCCACCAGTTGGAATTCATAACAAGTTTATGTTCTATTTACAATATTTATTTGTTCATTTACAGTGTCCACAATTAGTACAGCAGTGCTAAATCCTCTGACACTTAAATAAAGTTGTTTATTTATTATTTTATTATTATATTTATTGCCACGGCATAAGATTTCTCGTTTCCCTAAACTTGCACTTTATAAACAAGGGTGATACTTGCCATTTCTTCAATAACTAACGATTAGTTTATTATACAGCTGCCAACAAACTATAGACGACCAATCAGAGCGTGTTATACAGTTGAAAATTTATAAATAAAGATATGCGATCGTAAACTAACAGCAAGAAACATCGCCAGGTTAAAACGTCTGCTACTTTATGTGTATTCTCGGTTTTCAGCTGACGTCATAATATTATGCAAATTAGGTTTCCGCCATGTTGGTGCCCATGCGAGGTGTGAAATTGTATGCAAATCTATGCCATTTCTAAGCGCTCGCGTTCAAAGTCTTCGAATAATTCGTCTTTCCAATGGATATTTCCCAAGAAAGTAACCCAAAATCACAAGATGAGATACCAGTGCTTTCATCCTACGCGAAAAACATCGAAAGCCACGTCCGAGAGCGCTATTTAAAGAAAATTTATTTGGTTGGCGTTGATCCAGCGGCCATACCGAGTGAGCAGTTCAGCTCAGAATGTTTGCCTCCTATAGAAGTCTCGGACTTGCTTTCCTATTTAGTTTTGGAGACAAGCTATTACACAAATCAGCAATTTAAGGCCTTCAAAGTTTGGAGGCGTACAACCAAATGGTTTCTGGTTTCGTTGCGTTAGTTCAAGGCAAAGAAATCGCGGGCAAGATTGTTGTTGTGGGCAAGGTGAGACATTCACAGCGAATGAACGATCCTCTTGTTAACATTTGGATGATTGTAGAAAAGGACGGCACCATTATCTCCGCGCATTGTTTGGGCTGCAAGGCAGGACTGGCTGAATCCTGTTCCCATGTAGCGAGCGTGATGTTTTACATCGAAGCTGTGACACGGATTCAAGAAAGCTCGCCTGTACGCAAGTGAAATGCACGTGGATTCTACCAACATATGTGAAGGAAGTGCCATATGCAAAGGTACGGGAAATAGACTTTTCATCAGCAAAAAAACTCAAAAGCGCGCTGGAACAGAAAATTGAAAATACTGGGGAAGGAAGCAAAACAATTTTAGAACGGTGCGATCAAACAGTTGCAAATGCGATTCCATCAGATGGGGAAATTCAGGAAGTCTATGCCAAACTAAACAATTGTAAAATCAAAGCTGTAGCACTCAGCCTAATCGATCCCTATGCCGACCAATTTATTGATGAAAGCCGCACACTGCCAATTATTCCTGACTTGTTTGACACAAAAAATCTTCACCTGGACTACCCGGAATTAATCAAAATGTGTGTTCAAGTAACACTGGGTGTTTCTGAGGAACATATCAACAAAGTAGAAATTAGCACACGAGATCAAGCAAGTGGTTTCTGGTTTTTATAGACATCGTGCTGGCAGAATTGGTGCATCTCAGTGCTTTTCAGCCTTTCACACAAACCTTGCCAGCCCTCCAGTCTTTGATTAGACAATTTGTTATCCGAGCCTCTATAAAGTCAACAGCAAAGCTACGAGGTATGGCCAGAAGCACGAAAGTGATGCCATAAAGGCATATGAAGCATCCATGAAAGCACGTCATGTGAACTTAGAGGTCAAAAGTGCGGGTTATTCATCAACAGAGAAAATGTATTACTTCATGCCACCCCAGGACCTACTGTTGTGTCAGATCATGCAGCCATGAAATGTGACAGCATTTGTATTTGCAATGCAAAGCCTACCCCTACAGACAAGTTAGTTGAGTGCCATGGAGAAAGCTGCAAAAATGGAAAGTACTTTCACCTCAAGTGTCTTGATTTGAAGCGAATGCCAAACAATCACAGAACAACCTGGAAGTGCCCTGCGTGCAAGAAGATTGCCCCTGCCCAAGCTACCACCACCCCCACCACTTGTTCTTCTTGGTCAGATCCCTCCAGTAGCGAGGATGAAAGTGATGTTGTCATTACGAAAGTCACCCAGGGTGAAACTGATAAGACCAGTGCACTGGCAAATCTAACAGACAACCATTTTGATTGTAATTAATAATCCTACTGGATGGCTAGACTGTGATATCATCCAACAAGCTCATGTTTTATTACAGCGTGAGAATCAGGTAATCGCAGGTTTTTCAGCGACCAACACTTGGCCCAGTAGAAATTTTGATGTTGTTAGTGGTGAATTGGTTCAAATTTTGCACACTGGAACAATCATTGGGTGTGCATTAGCTCAATTGGATGTGTGCCTGGATATGTCAACGTTTTTTGATAGCCTCTATCATGACTTCGGTCATAATTCAAGAAGTAGAGGAACAAACAAATGATTTATTAGGGGGACGTTTTGATTGCTCTTGATCCGAAGCCAGTGCAGCAACAAACAAATGGGAGTGACTGTGGGGTTTTTGCAGTTGCGTTTGCTACCTGCTTAGTCTTTGGAGTAGACCCCACATTTATAAATTTTGATGTACAAGGTTTGAGACCTCATTTAGGCAACATGTCTAAGAGATGGTAGAATCAGCTTGTTTCCTTCATTTTAAAAACAGATGCACATTTTACAACAGTCAAAGGAACATGGAAAATCTTCTGTAACTTTGTTTAATTATCATTTTCATGCATTTTAATTTTGAGTCTGTGGCTTTGATTTTAAGCAATTCAGACAAAGCCTTCACATAGGATATCAGGCAAGCCATTGTGTGGTTTTGGAAAATATCCATACCTCCCCCATGGAAGGTTTTTTTGTTTGGCACCGCTCCCTTCCCCCTGGAATTTCCATTTAAGGTTCATACTTCCCTTATAAATTTTTGGCTCTTAAGACCCCTTTCCCCCTCAGAATTTTTCAATGACTCTCCATAGGGTGGGTATGGATATTTTCTCAGTGGAACCACACATTCCCACCTCCCTAGGATGAACATACAGGCCATTTAAATAACACGTGGCCGGAGCTGTGAAAATACATGCATTGCCTGTAAT